GTGTCTCCTCCTCCCTAGTCGCAATCGCCGCCGCAGCCGCAGCCGCCGCCGCAGGTGCCGCCGCCGCAGCAGTCGTCGGCGCAGCCGCAGCCGTTCGTGGACTCTGGAGGTGCTGGAGTTGGAGAGGGTGCTAGTCCTAGGGCTCCTATCCTGGCTTGTCCCGGCGGGCTCGGGGGTGGCACCGGCGCTGGAGACGTTTCTCGTTCTGGGGGTGCTGGCGTGGAGTGTACCGGAGGTAGCAGTGGTGCAGCTGGTGGTCCAGATGTCGGCGTTGAGAAGCGGCAGCAGCAGCAGTCGCCGTCGGTGTCCGCCCTTTGCCTGCTCGGCCTTCCCTCCCCTGACTGCTCGCCTGCGCCTCCCTCGCCGTCTCCCCTTCTTCCTGTCCACGGTCCTGTGTTTCCTCCGCCAGACTCGTCCCCGGCTCGTTTCCCCTCTCGTTCCCCTCCTGTTACTCCTCCTGTGTCTCCTTACCCGATGCCTCCGTCTCACGTCAGGTCTCGCCGTCCCTCTCGTGCTCGTCCTCTCTCTCGTGATCAGCGTTCTCACCCTATGTTGCTTTGTTCCCACGCGTCTCGTCCTCCCCGTTTGCCTTCGCCTCCTCCGTCGTCGCTCACTGTCGCGCCTCCCCCTCTGTCTAACAACCTTTGTGTTGCTCGTCCTCTTGTTCCTCGGGTCCTTGCCTCCCTCGTTACCGACCCGTCTGTTCCTGCCTCCAGTCATGACGCTTTTGTAGCTGCTGTCGCTGACTTTGCCTCTACTAGCCGCCTTAACATCGCTTCCGCTCTGGCCTCTAACCCTGTCTGTCCTCCGTCCGTCGAGGGTGCTCCTGCCCTTGGAGGACTGACAGTACGAGCTTGCCTTCTTATCAGAGGCTGCTCCCCATCTCTGTTCCATGCTGCTAGTCCCTGAGGGTGACCTCGACGCCTTTGACATCCCGACCCCTCGCACCTACGCTCAGGCGACCTGGGGACCCTGGGCCTGACATGGAGCAGGTGACGGCATCTTGGAGGGCTACCGGCAGCTACGTCGACGCAGTTCCCCCACCTCGGGTGAACGTAGTCGATGGCCGGTGGCTCTTCAAAGTGAAGCGCCCCCCTGGAGAGCCGTTTGTATTCAAGGCGCGCTACGTGGCTAGAGGCTTCAGTCAGCGAGAGGGGGTGAACTTTTTTCAGACCTTCACCCCGACCCCGAAGACGACTACTCTTCGGGCGCTGCTACACGTAGCAGTACAGCGTGACTACCAGCTTCACTCCCTCGACTTCTCCACTGCTTTCCTTCAGAGCAGCCTACACGAGGAGGTCAACCTGCGCCGCCCTCAGGGCTTCACCGGTACTTTCCCTCCTGGGACCCAGTGGCTCCTCCGGCGCCCCGTCTACGGCTTGCGGCAGGCGCCCCGTGGGTGGCACGACACGCTGCATGCCACACTAGCTGACCTGTAGTTCTTTCTGTCCTCTTCTGATCCTTCGCTCTTCGTTCGTGCTGGCCAGACTCCGTTCTACATCCGGGTCTACGTAGATGACCTGTTCTTTGCTACAGCAGACAGAGATGCGCTGGCCTCCGTGAAGGCTGAGCTGCTGAGGCGACACACTTGCACTGACCTGGGAGAGCTGCGCCACTACCTTGGCCTGCAGATCTCCAGGGACAGAGCATCACGCACCATCACTCTTACACAGTCACACTTGGTGCGTCAGGTCCTTCAGAGGTTCGGTCTTCAGTTCTCCGCACAGCCCACACCTCTGCGGATAGACCACATGCTCTCAGCTCCAGTTCACAAGGAGTCAGCAGAGCCCACTGGTCCTTACGCAGAGCTGGTGGGTTGCCTCATGTACCTGATGACTTGCACTCGCCCAGATCTCGCATACCCTCTCAGCATCTTTGCCCGCTTTGTCGCTATAGGCAGACACCGACCACAGCACTGGTCGGCCGCTAAGAGGGTTTTGTGTTATCTTGCAAGTACATCGGGCATGGGGCTGGTGTTGGGAGGGCGCAGGCCAGTGGTTCTTACTGGGCACACAGACGCTTCTTGGGCAGACGACGCTGAGACCCTCCGGTCCTTCCAGGGCTACTGCTTTAGCCTTGGTTCTGGTGCCATTTCGTGGAGGTCCACTCGCTCCTCGTCTGTTGCTCAGTCTAGCTGCGAGGCTGAGATCTACGCCGGTGCCATGGCGGCACAGGAGCTCCACTAGTTGACCTTCTTGCTTGCCGACTTAGGTGAGCGTCCTAGCTCTGCCCCGGTCCTGTACAGGGCCATGATCCTCCTGTATCAGGAGCCTTGACTTGAGGGCAGAGCGCAGCACATTCAGCAGCGGTACTTCCTCCTGCGCGAGCTTTTGCAGCGTCGACAGGCCCGCGTAGTACACTTGGCCTCTGGTGCCAACACAGCTAATATGTTTACTGAGGCGCTTCTGCTTAGAGATCATCAGTGGCACTGCTTGCAGTTAGGTCTAGTCCCTATTGACTCTCACTTGCTAGGCCCTTGATTGCGTACTCCTTTCTATTTATGCCTTCCAGACTAGCCTTGTGGCCTTTCCTGTAGTGGTTGGACTAGTAATGCCGCCCTGGTTTGCTCTGTCTTTCTTGTAATCTTGGTGACTGGTCTTCGGGCCCCTGCCACAGAGGTTGGACTAGTAGTGCCACCCCGAGCTGCGTGTTTTTTGCTCAGCACTACCCCTTGTCTAGCCTAGGGGGTGTGTCAACTTATACATACCGTGATCACCCGGATATAGGCGCAGCCATTTATTAAGCCCAGTGGGCTTATAGAGTGCAAACGCGCTTATATCCGTTATTTCATTATAAGCACACCTTTTTAGAAAATATATTTCCTATAAGCGCATTGAATTGCTATTAAAAAGCAGATGCATTGCGCAAACTTCCATTTCGAAAACTCTGTGCCATATCTCCCGCGGCACTCTCGCACCCCTCCCAAGCACCTCGCCTGCTAGATTCTTGCGTTTCCCGATCACTCTTGCATATGATTGGTCCCTACCCTGCCTTCCCAGCATAGTTGTGCTGGCGAAAAAAATCGCCAGATATTTCGCACGATATTTCTGCGCGTCCCCTTTTGAAGACAGTTGTATTGGAGCCAAAATTTACCCAGCTACATTTTGCTGTGTTCAAATCATTAATCCATATAGTCATTTATATTAGCGCATGAGCTTATATTTTTTATTCGATTACAAGCGCATGCTTTTTGTTCAACCGAATCCCTGTAAGCACATACACGCCTATATCCGGGGGATTACGGTATATTGTTATGTAGAAGTTATAGACTAGATAGGGTATGTTCTTAGTGGGTACAACCCAAATGCTATATCTTTCATGTTCTCCCTTCTTCTAATCATTCTTTCTAGTCTCAACACGAACGACTAGAATGAGAGAATACATGAGTATATAGCTAGTGGGTTGTAGTTTCTATGGCATGACCCTATGTAGTCTACTAAATATACACAAATATGTTCAACAATTCTAACAGTGTATTATCAGCGCCAGAATGTTTCCGATGCCCACGGCCTCGTTTAGGAGTGGGGGGTAGTGTAAGGAATTTCCATTCCTTACTGAGTTGTGCGTACACCCTAACTCATTGACTCGTCACGTTCGGCCTCATTTTTCGGCCCAAACCTTTTCCGCGTCGCGTCCGGCACTGTCGCCAAATTGCCGAACCTACCCATGTTCTGAGGTTTTTCGCCCTAGCACACCACCCCTATATAACCTCGTGCCTTCATTGCAATAGCGACCTTGGATTCTCTCATTGACACTTCTTAGTGTCAGAAACCCAGTCACTAACCACTGGGTTAAAAGGGCTTGTTAATAGCGGGTTAGTGCGCCCATAGCCCCCCAGGCTCTGCACCTGTGGCCCTTCCCCGAGGATCTCAAGGGCAACCCCAGCGGGTCACTCAACACCCCCCCCCCCGCTAGGATAGGTGGAAGACACGAGCACCTCTGCAGCGCTGGCACTGGGAGTTGAACCCAAGACCTTTGGCTCTGATGTACCATGTCAGAAACCCAGTCACTAACCACTGGGTTAAAAGGGCTTGTTAATAGCGGGTTAGTGCGCCCATAGCCCCCCCAGGCTCTGCACCTGTGGCCCTTCCCCGAGGATCTCAAGGGCAACCCCAGCGGGTCACTCTACACCTCCCCCCCCGCTGGGATAGGTGGAAGACACGAGCGCCTCTGCAGCGCTGGCACTGGGAGTTGAACCCAAGACCTTCGGCTCTGATGTACCATGTCAGAAACCCAGTCACTAACCACTGGGTTAAAAGGGCTTGTTAATAGCGGGTTAGTGCGCCCATAGCCCCCCAGGCTCTGTACCTGTGGCCCTTCCCGGAGGATCTCAAGGGCAACCCCAGCGGGTCACTCAACACCTAGCACACCACCCCTATATAACCTCGTGCCTTTATTTTTCATTGACACTTCCTATATCATAAGATTGTAGCATGGCGAAAACGTTGGGAACAAAGCAGAGCACGGAACGCTATGGCGGTGCTTGTGCGAAGACAGACAAATAGCGTTGCCACCTTTTGGCGAGGAGAACGAACGAGCGGTCACCCCCTGACTGGCTGCGGCGGTCGCACGTGGTACCACGAGGGTGCGGAGAGCAATGGAGGTGCGCAGTGCAGTCCCACGAGGAAGAACTCGCAGTCAGCCTGAGGAGGAGGACAGCGCGCTGGGGAGGGGCGAAACGGGTAATCTTCCATATTCACTTTGAATTTCGGGCTAGGGACGTGAAGGCTAGATGTAGCACTTACTGTTTTGGAGATGGAACCACATGCGTATTAAAAATTATTTACTGACTTCGAGGAATTATACACCCATAGTTTCCACCCATCAGTTTCCATTGTTTTCGCGATGTATGGACGGTCCGGTTAGGTTGAAGGATCGTGCATAAAAGGTAGCTGCCCTGAGGGATTGACTGCCGCGCGCACTTCCCCTCAGCTGCCTTCCCCGCCTTCCCCGTCCCGTCAACCAGGGAGTGTTTCCAAACTAGGCATTCCCTATGCCATTGCTGCCCAACCTTCCACCAAAGCCGCCATGGCCCACGACCCAACCACAGACGACAATCCCCTTGCTCTGGCTCAAGAGCAGCTCGAGTCTGCTCAACAAGCTGCTTTGCGACACACCCATGCTGATTACTACGTGTATATGCCGCGTTTCTCGGGTTGCCTCTAGGCGACCACGTTTCTCGGTTGTTGGTCGTCTCTTGTGATGCACGCTGCCTTACATCCGCAAGTCGAATCGAAAGCACATTACTCGATCGTGAGTCCCAATGATGGCGGATGTTTTCGCTGAGGAAGCATCAGCGATCGGCGGCATCAGCGTGTCGCATCGTATCCTGTCGTAAGCTCGTCGTCGCGTCCAGTCCAGCCTGTGTCCCTTGTTCGCTACCGTGCTGGTTCCGCCTCTTCCGCACGCGCCGTCTTGCGCAGCAGCAGCAGCAGCAGCAAGTAGAAGGCTGGCTCTGTCATCTCCGTCTACTCCGCCATACTCTCCGCTCGCCGCTCTCCGCCCTCCGCTGGGCCCGCGCGCCGGTGGGCAGGCGCGGTTCCGCGGGTTCAAAGAACGCCGAAGCGCACGGCGCCAGACACGGATTCCAAGAGGCCCTTCCGCCCGTTCCTTAGCGTTCCGAAGTTGGCGTGGTGGGAGGGGAGGAAAGGCGGCGGAGATCGCGCATCCTGGCGTCTGGCGCCATTCACGGCGCTGGGCGCACTCGGCGGAAGCAGAATGAACGGCGCAACGTTTCCCGCCAATGGGGAGGGGGACGGCTCCGCGGGAGAGGCCTTGGACCATCGCCTCGGCGGAAGGTCGGAGGGCGCAGGCGGAGGACTTGGGGGATCTGTGGCGGAGGCTTCGGCGGAAGATGGCTCGAGCGGAGGACGGTCGGCGGAGGATGAGCGCCCGCTGATTGCGCCATCTGAACGGCGGGGCACGTGGGCGGAAGAGGAGGCGCGGAGGACTTGCGCGACTGGGGAGAATGGATGGGATGATGCCTTGCGCAGTGGGGAAATTCAGAGCGAGTTGCGCCACGCGGAGGGCGCAGTCGCGGGGGAGGCGCGCGGTGACGGGGACCGCGGGGGAGCGGAGAGATTGCGCGGCGGCGGAGGTCGCAGTAGCGCTGACGCAAATGGATGCGCGGAAGCTAGCAGTTCAGGTTCTGGCGGCGGAGGCGCGGGGGAAGTTGCGGGGGAAGATCGGGGGGAAAATGAAGGCGAAAAAGCGGGGAGGGGGGAAGGGGAGGAGGAAAAGCTAATCCGGGGAGAAAGCGGAAAGGCGGAAGAAGAAGGCGGAAAGGCAAACGATTTGAGCGGAAACGGGAAATGGGTGGACGGGGAGAGAGGGCTGAGGGGAGAGGAAGCGGAGGACCCTTCCGCGGATGGGGGCGGGAAGGGGAAGGCGGGCGGGGAGTGTTCGGGGAGCGAGTCGTCGCGGCGCACGGCGGATGGGGAGCGGTCGTTCGTGTGGCTGCTGAACCCGCTCGAGACGCAAGATGACGTGGAGGCAGAGGGGGATGAGGAGGAATGGGAGGAGGTTGAGGAAGGTAAGGAGGGAGAGGGCGAGGGGGATTGGGAGTGGGAGGGAGAGGGAGAGGGGGATGGGGAGGAGGGAGGCGCAGCGACTGGGGAAGCCGCGCGGCAGAAGCGGAGGCGGAGGAGGCGGAAGGGCAGTGCGGCGGCGGCAGACGGCGGAGCCGCTGGGGAAGGCACGGGGGGCAGGAGCCGGGGCGAGGGCAGCAGATCCGGCAGGGCCGGGGGAGGGGGAGCAGGCGGGGGGGGGGGGGGCGGGGCGGAGAACGCATGGCGCGCGCTGGAAGGCCATGAGGACAAATTCGTGGAGCTCCAGAAGCTCTTCGTGGGGCCGAAATTCGCGACCGGGACCTACGGGCGGCTGTACCAGGGTCTGTACGAAGGGCAGGACGTGGCGATTAAGATCCTACGGCCGCCAGACAGTGAGGGCGAGGCGGAGAAACTCGCGCATCAGTTCAAGCAGGAGGTGGACCTCCTGGCGCGGCTGGACCACCCGAACGTGGTGCGGTTCGTGGGCGCGTGCCAGCGCCCGCCCACGTGGTGCATCCTCACGGAGTACCTGGGGGGGGGCAGCCTGCGCGCGTTCCTGCAGAAGCGCGAGGGGGCGCTGCTGCCGCTGCCCGACGTGCTGCGCCTGGCGCTGGACATCGCGCGCGGCATGGAGTACCTGCACGCGGAGGTGATGGGGGGGGAAGGGAGGGGGAGGGGAAAAGGGTGTTGGAGGGGTGGGGGGAGGAGGAGGAGGGGGGAACGAGGGAAAAGTAGGTTTGTGAGAGAGTTGGTGTGTGTGTGATGGGACGCGCACAGGTGAGGTAAGGCAAGCATGAATGGGTGGTGCGTGCAGGTAGGGGCATGGGCTAGTGGGATTCTGACATATTCAGGTGCTTGGCGAGGGGTTGAGTGGGTAGTACTTGGGGGCTGGTTGGTTCAAGAGAGTGGGTCTGCGGACGGCTGCGAACGGCTGCGAGGGCAGAGTGTCAGTGCAAGGGGCAGGGTAGGACAGCAGGCTGCCGGTAGCAGCAGTGTGCTGGAGAGAGCATGCAGGGCGAAAGGCACTCTACGCCTGGCTGGTAGGTATGGCATGGGGAGTGAACCAGGCCGGCAGGCGCAGAGTGGGGGAAGGCCTAAGCGGTACGGTGGAGGACTGGGTGTGGTTGGTTGGAGGGCGGCAAGGGATGCATGCGGGGCACAGCGATGCATGCGGGGCACAGGGATGCATGCGGGGCACAGGGAGTGATTAGAGCATGCGAGCACATGCATCCAGGAATGGTGGTGCCATTTTCGCATCACAAACACGGCTGCTGTGTTGGGTGGGTAGGGTGCTTCTTTGGTCTGTCAGTCAGTCGGGGTCTTGTGAGAGCAGGCGTGCACCACCACATCATCGATCGAACTTGCCCCCAAGGGTGAATGGAGCAAATCAGCCTTGCACCATTGTACCTCCTTTTCACCTCCTTGCCGCCGCCTCCTCCTCCTCCTCCTCCTCCTCCTCCTCCTCCTCCTCCTCCTCCTCCTCCTCCTCCTCCTCCTCCTCCTCCTCCTCCTCCTCCTCCTCCTCCTCCTCCTCCTCCTCCTCCTCCTCCTCCTCCTCCTCCTCCTCCTCCTCCTCCTCCTCCTCCTCCTCTTCCCCCTCTTGCTGTCTCCTATGGCCCCGTCCCCATCCCTTTTTGCATCCCCCCATTCCTCCTAACTCCCCAGACCCACACTCCCTCCCCTTCCTTGCACCCCCCACCCACAGGGCGTGGTGCACCGGGACTTAAAGCCCGACAACCTTGTGCTCACCACAGACAACGTGGTCAAGATCACCGACTTTGGCGTGGCCCGTCTGGAGGCGGACACATCCATGATGACAGCAGAGACAGGCACGTACCGGTGGATGGCGCCCGAGGTGGTGGACCACCGGCCGTACAGCAAGAACGTGGACGTGTACAGCTTCGGGATCGTGCTCTGGGAGCTCTGCACCGTGCAGCTGCCGTTTGCTGGCATGACCGCCATGCAGGCCGCCTTCGCCGTCGTCAATAAGGTCCGTGCACGGTGCTGCGGGTGCTGGGGGGTGGTGTGGGTTGTCGGGGGTGGTTGGGGTTGTGGGGAGAGACAGGCCGCCTTTGCTGTTGGGGATATGATGGGAGGGAGTGGAAGGGAGGGACGGGGGAGAGGGGTTGAGAAGGGGTGGGGTGGGGGAATGGCGGAGAGGGAGAGCGGGAGTGTGGAGAGGAGTGGTGGTGGTGGGGGGGTGTAGAGTGGAAAGGGGAGGTGGTTCTTGTGGCGATGGCAGTGGTTGGTGTTGCTCAGGTGACATGTGATGGCAGAAAGGGCATATTGTACAGAAACCCCTTCATTCATGCCAGTAAATGAAGCACCACTCATTGTAGCATCCCCACATGTGCCCTGCCCCTGCTCTGCACGTGGCACCTCTAGCACACCCCGCATCCGTCCACCCACCCTGTTCCCCTGCCTCCCCCTTCCCAACCCCTTTCTCCGTTTCGCCCTCACTGATCCACCGCAGTCCCTCCCTTCTCTCCCCTCCCCTCCATGCATCCAGGGCACGCGGCCGGATATCTCAGCGAACATCCCTGTGCCCCTGGTGCAGCTGATGCAGGCGTGCTGGCACACAAACCCCGACCGCCGCCCGCCCTTCAGCGAGGTGGTGCAGCAGCTGGAGGCCATGCAAGACGCTCTCACCCGCGACCCTAACGCCCTGCAGCGCCAACCCCCGCCGCACACACCCCGCGCCTCCCCCTCCACGTCCCCCAAGCTCTTCTGCTGCTGCTAGCCTGCTCGCTAGCCTGCTGGGTAGCCTGCGCAGGGAGGGGCCTCTGGGGTGGCATGGTGTGGCGTGGCATGGCGTGGCTTGGTGTGACCTTGTGCTGTGCCCGCGCCATGCCATGCCCTGCGGTCTGGTGCCACGGCGTGCTGGTCTTGGTTCCCGCATGTGGCACAGCTTGCTTGAGGGACAAGGTCGAGGGGAGGGAAGGTGGAGGCAAGTGGAGGAGGAGTGACAGTGGAGGAAATGCTGGGTGGGAGTGGAAGGAACTGAGGTCTGTTTATTGGTGGGTGTGAAGTGAAGATGCTGTGGCGTGGTAGGAGCTTCCAAGTGCAATGAAAAGAGGGAGGGAGTGTCTGTTGAGTTACGGTATGGTACGGTATATGGTTGCGACCTGTTGGTGCGTACCAGAAGGTATTACCCAACAGCACCAGTGCGCCAGCGCCTGCGCCAGCGTTGATGGAAGTGGCAGCAGTGGTTGCAGCACGGTAGATGGCGCCTCCAGTCCAGAAAGTGCTGGATCTCGTTTTGATGGGAGGGGAGGCTTTGATGCATTGTGTCAGGGAGGTACTGGGAGGTATAAATGTCAAACATAAGTATAACTCATGTTTGTATAGACTGTATAGGGTCGCCTCTTAGAGGGTACAACACTCTTAGGTATATACCCTTGTACTCTCTCTCTATTCAACAATTCTTCAGTTCTAAGATGGTATCAGCAGTAGGTAGGTCCCACCGCCCCCCCCACGCTTCCGCCCTAGGATCTACCCCCGTTCGTCGCGCCCCCTAGGCCCCGTCGCGTCACCTAGGACCAGTCGCGCCCCCCCCCTGGGCCCGTCGCGTCACCTAGGACCAGTCGCGCCCCCCCCTGGGCCCGTCACGCCCCCCCTGGGCCCCGTCACGCCCCCTGGCCCCGTCGCGCCCCTGGGCCCCGTCACGCTCCCCTGGGCCCCGTCGCGCCCCCTGGGCCCCGTCACGCTCCCCTGGGCCCCGTCGCGCCCCCTGGGCCCCGTCACGCTCCCCTGGGCCCGTCGCGCCCCCTAGCACCCGTCACGCCCCTCCTGGGCCCCCCGTTGGTGCCTCCTGGCCCTATCGCGCGAATCCTAGCCCGTCGCGCCTTACCTAGCCCGTCGCGCCTTTCCTAGCCCGTCGCGCTTCCTAGTCCGTCGCTCCAGCCCCGCGACCGTCCCAGCCGGCCCCGCGACCGTCCCAGCCGGCGCCGCGACCGTCCCAGCCGGCCCCGCGACCGTCCCAGCCGGCCCCGCGACCGTCCCAGCCGGCCCCGTGACCGTCCCAGCCGGCCCCGCGACCGTCCCGGCCGGCCCCGCGACCGTCCCAGCCGGCCCCGCGACCGTCCCGGCCGGCCCCGCGACCGTCCCAGCCGGCCCCGCGACCGTCCCTGCCGGCCCCGCGCCCGTCCCAGCCGGCCCCGCGACCGTCCCAGCCGGCCCCGCGACCGTCCCAGCCGGCGTCGCGACCGTCCCAGCCGGCGCCGCGACCGTCCCAGCCGGCCCCGCGATCGTCCCAGCCGGCCCCCGCCCGTCCCAGCCGGCCCCTCGTGCCCGTCCAGGCCGCCCCTGCACCCGTCCCAGCCGGCCCCGCGCCTGTCCCAGCAGGCCCCGCTCCCGTCCCAGCCGGCCCCGCGCCTGTCCCAGCCGGCCCCGCGCCCGTTCCAGCCGGCCCCGCGCCCGTCCCAACCGGCCCCGCGACCGTCCCAGCAGACCCCGCGACCGTCCCAGCCGGCCCCGCGATCGTCCCAGCCGGCCCCGTGACCGTCCCAGCCGGCCCCTCGTGCCCGTCCAGGCCGCCCCTGCACCCGTCCCAGCCGGCCCCGCGCCTGTCCCAGCAGGCCCCGCGCCCGTCCCAGCCGGCCCCGCGCCTCTCCCAGCCGGCCCCGCGCCCGTTCCAGCCGGCCCCGCGCCCGTCCCTGCCGGTCCCGCGCCCGTCCGAGCCGGCTCCCGCGCTTGTCCCGGCCGGCCCCGCGTCGACTTCCGGCCCTTCCTCGCCGGCCCTACGACCGTCCGATCTGCACTCTCCCTGGTACGGTTCTCCACCACCTTTCACCGCACTGTACCGCACTACACCGCACCGCACCGCCCTGCACTGCCCTGCATCGCACTGCCTCGCCTTGCACCGCCCTGCACCGCACGGCATTGCCCTGCTCTGCACTGCACCGCACTGTACAGTCCTGCACTGCCCCTGATGGCGGCGGAGCTTCGCTTCGACGCTGAAGGCCAGCCTCTGGAGTTCGAGGCGTGGCTTGCCGACCTTCGGCGTCAACTCTCTGGCCAGCGGCAGGATGGTGAACCGCTTTCCGCACACCTTGACGGTACGCTCCCCTGCCCAGACCCCCCTGCTGTTCTGCCCGCTGACTCCGCACCCACTGAGCGCGAGTCTACTGCTGCCACTGCCCGTGCGCGCTCTGTCTGGCTTTCTCAAGATGCTGTCGCTCAGCTTGCCATTAGCAATGCCCTTCCCCTGTCCGAGCGCCCCCGCTTTAGGTCCCTCACTACTGCCCAAGCTTACTTAGATGCTGTCATCAAGCGCTATTCCACCCCTCCAGCTGCCTCGGTGGGTCGCCTGATCCTCCCGATGCTCTTTCTTGACCTTGCGTCTTTCCCCACTGTCTCTGACCTCGCTTCCCACCTGCGCTCGATAGATGAGACCTGGCGCGCTGCCTGCACTGACGCACAGCTTAGAGCCCACCAGCCGCCCATTACCTCTACCCTTTACCTGCTTGCCACCCGCCTCCCTGACCGCCTTGGTGTCGCCCGCGACCACTTCTTTAGCATTCACCCCGCAGACCTCACCCTCACTGACTTTGTAGACACCCTGACTGTGAATGAGACCCGCCACCGCTCCATCGCCCAGGCGAGCGGTACCGTGCCGGTCCCTATCTTTCAGGGTTGTGCCCCCGCTCAGTGTACTTTCTCCAACGGCTCTGCCGCTGTGGCTGAGACTGCTGCTGCAGCGCAGTTTCGTTCGGGGAAGGGCCGCCGCCCCAAGGTTGGGCGCGGCGGAGGAGGCGGGGGTGCGGGAGGGGGTGGCGGTGGAGTCGGGTCGTCTGGTGCTGGAGCGGACGAGGGGACCCTGCCCAGTCCAGCTGAGCCGCCGCCCCTGCAGTCGCAGCAGCAGCAGCAGCCACAGCAGCCGCCGCAGTCGCAGCAGCCGCAGCCTTCGCAGCAGCCGCAGCAGCCACCGCAGACGAGGCAGACGAGTGTCCTCCCGCCCGGGTGGCCCGGCGCTGGCGGTGGTCGGGCGCGTGGTGGTGTGCCGAGTGGTGGTTCTAGAGGCGTGCGTTGTCAGTACCAGATCCAGACCGGTCCTCGCCGCGGCTTCGTTTGCGGTAAGATCCGTCACTCCACTACCCGCTGTTTTCGTCGCCTGGACGACCTGTTTCGTCAGCGCTTCGGCCCGTCGCCAGACCTCCCGGACTGGCACAGTTTGCTTAGTCGTAAGATTCAGATTTTTGACATGGACATGGATGCCATTGTTTCTGTTCTGCATGTGATGTATGCTGATGACTCTAGTGTGCTTCCCGCTTATTACTCACTGCCGGCTAGTGTAGGTGTGCCTAGCTTAGCCTCACCTGCTGCGTCAGGCGTAGGATCCCCTGCTTTGTGTAGTCTTGGTGCTTCCGCCGTCGTTCCATCGCCAGACGCCTCTGCTTCGCTTTCCTTCACCTTGGACTCTGGCGCTTCCCGGTGTTTCTTCCGCGACTTCACCACACTGACGCCGCTTCCTGTTCTTGCTGCCGTTTCTCTTGCTGACCCCTCCGGCGGTCCGGTAGTCGCCCGCAGTTCCACCACCCTTCCCTGTCCGGCGGTTCCTTCGGGCACTCTCACAGGTCTGCATATCCCCTCGTTCTCCAGGAACCTAGTTGGTGTCGGCTGCCTCCAGGACCTTGGCGTAACCACTACGTTCCCTGGTCACGAGCGGTCTGCTGTCTGTACCGAGGCCGCCACGGGTGCCCCCCTGTCCACGTTCCCCCGGACCCGGTGTCCGGCCTGTTCACTCTGGACACCGTGACCCCCCTGGCTGGGGCGCTCCCTAAGGTGGCTGCGTCTACCCAGGTTGCTGCTGCCTGCTTCTGTCGGTCCCTCACTCACCCGACTCTCCTTTGGCACCACCGCCTAGGTCACCCTGCGCTCTCGCGTCTGCGTCACATGTCCCAGCACGGTCTTGTCCTTGGTCTCCCAGGTTCTCTCCCCGCGTTTCCCTCCTCCCCAGCCCCACCTTGCACGCCTTGTGTCGAGGGTCGGCTTCGCCGTGCCCCTCACTCCTCCTCGTTTCCCCCTACCGCCGCGCCGCTGCAGACCCTGCACCTGGACGTCTGGGGCCCCGCCCCCGTCCCTGGGCCGCGTCGCGAGCGCTACTTCCTTGTGCTTGTCGACGACTTTACTCGTTACACCGCAGTCTTTCCCCTGGAGCGCAAGGCCGACGTGCCTGGCGCTCTCATCCCCTGGCTTGTCTCTGCGCGTGTCCACCGCGGTCTCCCTGTCTTGCGTCTTCACTCCGACCGTGGTGGCGAGTTTGCCTCAGGTGTACTTGGTCGCTTTTGTCGTGCGGAGGGCATCTCCCAGACGTTCACCCTACCGGACTCCCCACAGCAGAATGGGGTCGCTGAGCGACGCATCGGTTTGGTCATGGAGGTGGCTCGCACCTCCATGATCCATGCCGGTGCACCCCATTTCCTGTGGCCGTTCGCTGTGCACTACGCTTCTCACCAGCTTAACCTGTGGCCGCACCCTCAGCAGCCGCAGGTTTCGCCGACCCGTCTTTGGACTGGGTCTCCTGGTGACGCGTCTGTGTTCCACGTCTGGGGCTGCCTTGCTCACGTCCGTGCCTCCGGCACAGACAAGCTCACTGCCCGCACCCTTCCCTGCGTCTTCCTCGGCTTTCCCCTTGACGCGTCTGACTGGCACTTTTACCACCCGCCGTCTCACCGCTTCTTTCACTCTCGCGACGTCACCTTTGACGAGTCCGTTTCCTATGACCGTCGCTTCCCCCACCGCGGTCCCCCGGTTACCCCCCCCCTGTTCCTAGTCACTCCTTCCCCGGTAGTCCCTGCCCCTCCCCCTCCTCCTCCCCGTCCTGCCCCCTCTGGTGTGTCCCACGTCACCCCCCTTCCGTTGGTGGACCCGGTTGAGGAGTCTTCTGACTCTGGTGGCCCTGCTGCGCAGTCCTCGCCGGCCGCCCCTCCCCCGGCGTCCCCTCCCCAGTCCCCTCCTCCACCGCCTCTGCCGCCGCTGCAGCCGTCGTTGTCGCTGCCGCCGCCGCCGTCGCAGCACCCATTTGTTGACTCTGGGGGTGCTAGTCCCGGTAGCCGTGGGGGTGGATCCTCTGGGGGTGCTGGTGTGGAGTGTGCTGGTGGTAGCCGCGGAGCCGCTTGCAGTCCCGGTGTCGCCGTTGTGCCGTCGTTGCAGCAGTCCCCGCCGGTGTCAGCCCTTCGCCTGCTCGGCCTTCCGTCCCCTGACCCTGCGGCTGTTCCTCTCCGACCGTCTCCTCCTCTTCCCGTCTACGGCCCTGTGTTCCCTCCGCCGGACTCGTCCCCGGCCCGTCTTCCTCCTCGTTCCCCTCCTGTGTCCCCTCCCCTGTATCCTGACCCGACTCCTCCGTCGCACGTCTGGTCTCACCGTCCCTCCCGTGCTCGTCCTGC